GCGATTTTAAGTTCTCAACTTTTATCTTTTAGGAAGCCCTGAGAATTAAAGGACAGTTTTGTTGCATTTATCTCCCTACTTTAAATATTCTTAAATTAAGATTTTAGAAAATTTGTATACTCATAGGTCTCAGGTTAAGGTAATCTAAATGGGTTTACCCAATGTCCCAAAGCATTACAACTTTTTTCCATTACAAATTACTTAGGGAACACACACTCGCATTACAAATTCGAGTATTATGTAAGCACGTATCTTTCAGCATTTTGCTTGTATGTTATGGCGTTTAGCTCATCCTGTCTTGTATTCTGTAAGTGGAGAACCAGGATACTTTGTGTAAAGAGCATGGACTTCTGGGGTCAGAGAGACCAGTACAGATTGTAGCCTGCAAGGGTTTTACCCTGAGTGAAAGGCTTAAGCTCTCTGTTTCCAAGTCTGCAATTCTCCTTTAAAGGATTGTTTATGTGGATTAAATGAGACAATAATGATTAACCATTTAGCAAACTCTGCTTGGTACTCGGTTAAGTTTTGACAGCTGAAAGCTAACTAGAGAAATGTGTACAGATGTTTTCTTTACTTAATTATAAGCTTTTTTAGGGCAGGACTGCATCTTACTCAGTTCGTAACAATTAGGGTACAGTCAATCTTTATTGAATGAATGAATGATAGCTTTTTAGGTTCCTGATGTCAATAGGTAATATACAAACTTTTAAAGATTGACATAATGGTTTGCATCATTTTTTCCTACGTGGTTTCTTCAAGTCCCTTGTTCACCCTGACATTCCATCTCAGGGTGGGCAAGGGACTTGAAGAGAAACTTCTCTGAAGAAGATAGGTGCATGGTCTATAGATATATGAAAAAATGCTCATCATCCTAAATCATCAGAGAAATGCAAATCAAAACTACTTTGAGATATCATCTGACACCAGTAAGATTAGCCACATCACAAAATCCCAAAACCAGAGATGCTGGCATGGATGTGGAGAAAAGGGAACACTTCTACACTGCTGGTGGGAATGCAAACTAATACGTTCCTTTTGGAAAGACATCTGGAGAACACTTAGAGAACTAAAAATAGACCTGCTATTTGACCTACACTTCCTCTACTAGGTATATATCCAGAAGACCAAAAATCACACTACAACAAAGATACTTGTACTAGAATATTTATTGCAGCCCAATTCATAATTGCTAAGTCATGGAAGAAGTCCAAGTGCCCATTGACCCAGGAATGGATCAATAAATTGTGGTATATGTACACCATGGAATACTATGCAGCCCTAAATAAGGATGGAGACTTTATCTCCTTCATGTTTACATGGATGGAGCTGGAAAATGTTCTTCTTAGCAAAGAATGGAAGAAAAAGTATCCCATGTACTCAGCCCTATTATGAAACTAATTTATAGCTTTCATAGGAAAGCTATAACCCAATTATAGCCCAAGAATATGAGGAAAAGGGAGAGGGAGGAGAGGGGAGGATGGGTGGAGGGAGGGTGATTAGTGGGATCACGCCTATGGTTCATCTTGTAAAGGTACATGTGAATCTTTCTAAATGTAGAATATAAATGTCTTAACACAATAATTAAGAAACGGACATGAAGGCTATGTTAACCAGTTTGATGATAATATTTCAAATTGTATGTAAAACAGCACACTGTACCCCAAGACTGTATTAATGTACACAGCTATGATTTAATAAAAAAAAGAAACATTAGAACAAGTGATCAATGAGAGAGGCTGAAGGGATGACTGATGGTGTTACTAGCTTACTTGCCTCCCTCTTTTAAAACATTTTCATCATGGCTCGGCGCCTGTGGCTTAAGTGGCTAAGGCATCAGCCATTTATACCTAAGGTGACAGGTTTAAATCCAGGCCCAGTCAAAATGGGTTGTTTCCTGTGTACATTTTCACACATGTACCCTGGTGCCCATGTATTCATGTTTCTCTGAGATACATGCTGGGAACAAATTCGCTGAGTATCTATATCTTTAACTTTACCATAACAGATATTCTCAATTTTTTTCTGAAGTAGTTGTACCAATTTACAAATGCATCAGAAATGCACAAGATATGTTAACGAGTTGGATGAAAGTATTTCAAATTGTATATAGAAATAGCACACTGTACCCCATGATAGTATTAATGTACACAGCTATGATTTAATTAAAAAAAAGAAATGTACAAGAGTTCTGAGTCTTCACCAATACTTCTCATTTCTTTTTTCCCCACCTTTAATTGTAGCTGTTCAAGTGCCAGCAGATGTGTACCATTGTGGTTATAATTTGCATGATAACTAATGAGTCTGAGCACTTTTTCATTGACAACTTGGATTTTCTGTTTTGTGAGTTCAGTTCAAATCTTATTTTTTTAATTGCATGTCTTTTTCTCAATACATTTGGCCAGTTTTTCAAGAGTTATAAAGGTGGACAATGAAAGAGAATGGGGTTCTATGGTAATATCCAAACATTTTAGAAACTGCTAAATGTAGTGTAAGTTATTGAGGGGTTTCCTTTGGGTATCGATGGGGCTTTCTTTTCAGATGTTACTTTCAGGCAGTTCATGAGTTTTCTGCCCTTGAGCCTGTGTAAATGACTATTAATAAAACTTGACTAAATGCCATCAAGGGAGGGCACAGAAAGATTATAAAAGCCCTGATATCAGGAGATTATTGAATGGGGACCTGCAAAGGAGAACACCTGTTTATTACTACCTAGAAGCAGGAGAGCAGAGCACAGGGGATCAGTCCCCTCACCTGTGAGGCCCTTTTCACCAGTGCTTTTAAGATACCCAAGTTCCCTTTAGACCCATTAGCTCATCTGGAAACCACTGTTTACTTGGAAATGAGCCAAATGGGAAAGGGGTTTTCTGAAACAGTCCCCTGAGGAATGCATCTTAGTTTGCCTTAAAGAAAGACAAGTGGAGGAGAGGAAAGTAGAAGGAAGTTGATGTAATTTCTAATGAACACGGTGCTGGGCTCCTTTGCACGTCATCAAGCTCCAGTTTAGAAAAGCCGACAGGCTAACTCTGCAATAGAATGGTTAATAACTGATATCCTAAATACTCTCCTGCACAGCAGACTAATCTTAAGATGTTTTCTTTCTTTCCATTTTTTTTTTTTTTTTTTGTAGTTTTTGGCCAGGGCTGGGTTTGAACTCTCCACCTCTGGCATATGGGGCCAGCGCCCTACTCCTTTGAGCCACAGGTGCTGTTCGAGCTGGTTGGAATTTTGCAAAGCATAATTTCCCAACTAAAACTGGAATTGGAGCTTTTAGCAACTCCAGAAGGGCAGAGACTCAGGTCTCTTCCAGGCACCATTGCTTTTTCAGAGGCTGAGCAGCACCTGGCACATGGTAGACACCAGACATCCATTAAACACATGAATGAACAAATGATTTTTCTTTTGGCACTGATGGATATTGAATGAAATATCCTAGTAACAGAAGGAAGCAAAGATAATGGTCAAAGGAAACAAAGGTCAGTTATGCAAGATAAATAAATTCTGGAGATTTACAGCTAACAATACTGTATTGTGTACTTAACATTTGCAAAGTGCGTAGATCTTGTGTTAAGTGTTCTTAACACAAAAATAATAACAATCAGATGGAGTGGGAGGAAAGTTTGTGAGATAATAGATGTGTCTGTGGCCTTGATGGTTTCATGGGTGTGCATTTACTCTTAAACTCATCCAATTGTGTATGTTAAGTACGCATAACTTTTGCATGTGATCATACCTCAATGAAATGTATTTTTATTTTATTTATTTATTTTTGGACATTTTTTGCCTGTCTCACTATGTCACCCTGGGTAGAGTGACATGGCATCATAGCTCACACCAACCTCAAACTCTTGGCCTTAAGTGATTCTCTTTCCTCAGCCTCCCAAGTAGCCGGGACTACAGGTGCCTGCCACAATGCCCAGCTATTTTTTGTTGTAGTTGTCATTGTTGTTTAGGGCCCTGGCTGGGCTTGAACCCACCAGCCTCAGTGCATGTGGCTGGCACCGTAACCACTGTGCTACGGGTGCCAAGCCTAAAATATGTTTTCCAAAAAGTTAATGCTTATTATTATGTAAGCATACACACTTCCACTACTTTAATTTGACCATGATTATGACTTTTCAGTGAAAAATGTGCACAGCTCTGCTCTTTAGAAGATGATGCATGATGTCAATGACTAATGTACAGGATACAAGCAATAAACTTGAAAGTCTTAGTGCTGTTTCTTAAGGATCTTCTGGCTTAGAAGAACCTAAAACGATCATGGTATATAATAGATTTTCAACAAGTCCTTTTTTTTTGAGGCAGAGTCTTACTATGTCACCCTCAGTAGAGTGCTGTCACATCACAGCTCACAGCAACCTCAAACTCTTGGGCTTAAAGTGATTCTCTTGCCTCAGCCTACAAGTAGCTGGGACTACAGGTGCCCGCCACAATGCCCAGCTATTTTTTGGTTCTAGTTGTCATTGTTGTTTGATGGGCCTGAGCTGGATTCGAACCCACCAGGTCTGGTGTATGTGGCTGGTGCCCTTAGCCGCTGAGCTATAGGCACAGAGCCTCTCAAAAAATCTTCAGAGGATGAGCATCATTTTGAAATAGTTTAGCTGGAATTATAATTTAATTAATTGCAAATCAACACATCCTTTCTGGCATTTTTTGCCTGCTGGAAATAACCCTGTCGGTGGTGAGAGAGGATACCTGAGAAGGGTGAGGTCTAGGAGAACAGGTCTTCTCAAGGAGACCACAAGGATACACCCATGGGGTCCTGTCCATGGTGACTCAGCTCTTGGGAATTTGTAAACTTACCTTCCTGAAACTTGGAAATTTCCAAGTTCTGTGAAATCCTGTAGTTCTGTAGGGGCTGAAATAGCATCTCCCGCTTGATTCAAACTGGCCAATGAGAAGGGTACCCGTGGGGTAGAACTTTTTCACTGTCAATAAAAAAGGAAAGACCAAGCCAGTTGGGGAGTGTTACCATTTGGAATTCTTCTATTCTGTAAGCTCCCGGCTGGTGAATAAAGGTTTTGGGGTGCTCTTTCCGTTGGGCCTCATCTTCCTGCAACAGTAGGAAGCGTATGGGTCTGTCCTGTGTTCTCAGAGTCCTGCGTATCACCTGGAACATGACAGGACTCAGTCATATGGATACGATGCCTCAGTCAGCCCCATAAAGAAGAATGGAAGGAACTGAGTATGATTCACCTGGGAAGGTGGGTCTTTGGAGAGGAGACAAGATTGCTGTCTTTAGATATTTGAAGGATCAACTTGTGGCAGACAGACAGCAGAATGAGGACACTATGTGGACACTGCCAGTAGGCAGAATTTTATTCATTACAGATCAGCAGAGAACAGCTTAATCTTAAAACCAAAACCCAGTCTGGGAGTGGTGGCTCATGCCTGTGATCCTAGCACTCTGGGAGGCCGAGGAGGGTGGATAGCTTGACCTCATGAGTTCGAGACCACCTGAGCAAAAGCAAGACTCTGTCTCTACTGAAAATAGAAAAATTGAGTCAAGAGGTTTACTTGAGCCTGAGGTGGAGGTTGCTGTGAGCTATGATGTCACAGCACTCTATCCAGGGTGACAGCTATAGACTCTGTCTCAAAAACAGAACAAAACATTAGAAAATGTTCTTCTTAGCAAAATATCTCAAGAATGGAAGAAAAACTATCCAATGTACACAGCCCTACTTTGAAACTAATTCATAGCTTTTATAGGAATGTCATAACCTAATTATAGTCTTAGAATATGGGAAGGGGGTGGGAGAAGGGAGGTGAGGGGGATGGATGGGGGGAGGGAGGGTGATTGGTGGGGTCACCTCTATGGTTAATCTTCCAAGGGTACAAGTGAATCTTTCTAAAAGCAGAGTATGAATGTCTTGACTCAATAACTAAGAAAATGACATGAAGGCTACGTTAGCCAGTTTGATGAGAGTATTTCAAAATGTATATGAAAACAGCACACTGTACCCCATGATTGCATTAATATACATAGTTATGCTATAAGAAATAAAAAAAAAAAACAGAACAAAACAAAACAAAACAAAAAACCAAAACCCAGAAGGGAAAAAGGTTGATTTCTTTTCTGTTTTTTCCCCCAAGGCCTTTTTATGGGGCACCTCATTTTCCCTGATTATTCATTCCCTTCTCCCCCACCCACCAAGGTTTACTGTATGAGTTCCCTGATTCAGCAGGAAAACTCCAGCTCTTTATCAGCCTATCTGCTTCCTGAGGAGTGAAGGCTGGCTCTGGGTCATTAGGTATACTGCATTTCAGGGCTCGGGATCCCATGGCTAGTCAGTTAAGAGTAATATGCTGTGCTGCCTCAGTCCATTAAAATGAGACCCAAGACGTGTGGTGAACATCCATCAACTTCAGGGCTACCTAAATCTCCACGGCATGGCTCCTGGTGGTGTCATATGCTAAGGACTGCCCACAAATCAATGCGGACGATTAGTCTCTACAGACAGTGATGTGTCTATTGCCCTTGGTATTATTTGTACATTACCTTGTTATTAATATGTGCATTATCTTAGGTTCAAAATATTGGTTTTACCTTGACTTTTGTTTGGGTGATAAAAATCTCAACCATTGGGCTATTATGCATTAATCTTTTCTACTTTAAATTCAGACCTCATCTCCTATTTGGAAAATGGAGGTAATGGAAAGAACTACTATGACGTAGAGAGAGAAACCCAGAACAGGAATAGAAAGTGTTCTCACCTTAAGTTTGCCTTGTATAATCTTAGGTAAATTATCCAATTTCTTGCCATCTCATTGTTCTACCCATAAAATAATGTTAAAAGGAGAAATTAACTTCATTCTTCCTGTCGGAAAATTAAGGTATATTTAAACATTCTTGGTATATAATATTAAATTATCCCTGGAAACTGTAAAAATGACTAACTTTGAGGCATTTAGTCATATTGTTTTTGTAATAAAATCTTGGTTAAAAATCTTTACTCAGACACTGGGTCAAAAAAAAGAAAGAAAGAAAGAAAAATGGTTACTCAAAACATGGTTGTTATTATTGTTAAATTTATTTTTTTTAAATTATGATTAGATTTTTTTTTTTTTTTTGAGACGGAGCCTCAAGCTATCCCCCTGGGTAGAGTGCCATGGCATCACAGCTCACAGCAACCTCCAACTCCTGGGCTCAAGTGAGTGTCCTGCCTCAGCCTCCCAAGTAGCTGGGACCACAGGCACCCGCCACAACGCCAGGCTATTTTTTGGTTGCAGCCATCATTGTTGTTTGGCGGGCCAGGGCTGGATTCAAACCCACCACCTTTGGTGTATGTGGCTAGCGCCTTAGCCACTTGAGCCACAGGCGCCGAGCCTCAACTATTATTTTTTAATCAACTTAAAACTAGTCTCCTTTTTTTGGTAGCAGCTTTTCATCTCTTGACTGATTTTTGTTCAGGTTACTTTAATATTTCTTTGTTATCTGTGTAATCTATTTACTTTGACAGTTAAAGCAAAGAATTAGAATATAAATCAGTAAAGAAAATATCCTTCCTTGCCCCTTGAAACTCTAAATACCACCATATCCCAGGAGGTGCCTGTTTCAGGCCCACGGCCCTATGTCTGGATCGCTGCAGTGAGACTCTTCTGGGGGCCCCATAAGAGTCAACTGAGGCAACTCAAGTCCTCAGGCAAGAATAGAGATGCTCAAAAACCCTGATGAACGTGGCACGAAGCTTTCCCCTCTAGAAAACGGAGAGAGAACCAAAGGGAATTTTTTAAAACCTAAGCATTTAGCCACATTTTTGTGGCTTAAATGTGGCTTAACATTTAACCACTCTTTAACACCAGCCAGCCGACTGCAGGTTCCCGGGAAGAAAAAGCAAACGAAATAATCATCGCTTGTGAATTCACGAGTGGCTTCTCCCGGGGCGGCTGCTGCGGCCCGGGTCCGCGCTCTGGGAGCGTCCTGGAAGCTGCGGACTCGCCCCCATCAGGTCTTCATTACTTTCAACAGCGCCTCACCGGAACGCAGCACGCAGGGATGTCCGCAGGTGCCTGAACCCTGGGCCTGCTGTGCCCCTAACTTAGGGGAAACTGTGGATGTCAAGCAGAACAGATAGAGCTATTTGAGGACTTGAGCAGGTTCCCATGACCCCTTGCACATACCTTTATTCCTGCACCTGCCCCACTAATTATTCCTTTATAGCTAGGGTGACCAGATTTTAACATCGGTAAGGCGGGACAACATGGCCAGGGGGCGGGGCTGGGGGCGGGGCTGGGGTAGGGCGGGGGACCGGGCAGGGCAGGGCTTGACAACAATGCAAACTTTGATAACAGTTCTCGATAGTCTATAGGGTGACCAGATTTTAACATCGGTAAGGCGGGACAACATGGCTGGGGGGGTGGGGCCTGACAACAATGCAAACTTTGATAAGCAGTTCTCGGTAATCACTTCTCAGCAGTTATTTGTTATTATTACATTTTAACATTATAAAATTAACAAAAATAATATGAAACTCATATTCTGGTGAAATAGCCACATGGCAGCCAAAAACTGTATATTCCCTTCTTGTTCTCCAGCCCGTTTGTGCATTCTTTCCAAAAATCAGGACTTTTTTAAAACGCCACGAACACGGGATACATTGTTGAAAAGCGGGACTGTCCTGCCAAAAGCGGGACGTTTGGTCACCCTATTTATAGCTCTGTCACCAGCAGGAATATGCATGGCTCGGTCAGGACCACGGTGTTGCCACGGTGTTGCCACGGTGTTGTAACTGTCAGGGCCCACTATGCACATAGTAGCTGGTGGGAAAGCTGCCTCCTGGGGGCGACAGCGCACAGCCTGCGTAGCCATCTGCAGCGGCTCTGCCTGGGGACGTGGTGAAACGGTAGTTAGGAGATTGGCCTTATACATCTTTTGTTCTGGCATCAGGTACATGGTAGGTGCTCAATAAATATTTTTGAATAAATGACCCTGGATTTCCCACTTATTTCCAATTGATTTAATTCAACTTCCTTCCTTCCTTCCCTCTCTCTCTTTCTCTCTCCACAGAGTCTCACTCCGGGTAGAATGCTGTGGCGTCAGCCTAGCTCACAGCAACCTAAAACTCCTGGGCTGAAGTGATCCTCCTGCCTCCTGAGTAGCTGAGTCTACAGGGGCCCACCACAACACCAGGCTAACTTTTACTTTAGTGGAAACAAGGTCTGGCTCTTGCTCAGGCTGGTCTTGAACTTCTGGCCGGAGCTCAAGCAATCCACCTGCCTCAGCCTCCCAGAGTGCTAAGATTACAGGTATGAGCCACCTTGCCCAGCCTGATCTATCCCCTTATTCTGTAGATCTTTTCATCTAGTCAGGTGTCCTGCTATTAATATGCACTTCTCCCCTTCCGTCCAGGAAGACACTTCAGCTTTAATAGCTTTGTGTTAATTAATGATGCTTTATGTGCATCCACCTAGGAGGCTAGTTTGTTCCATGCTTGACCCACTTGAGGCTTGAGAACAACTCCGTGATTTTCTGGGCTCATTTCTGATCTCACAGATGTGGTTCTGGAGAAGAAACCAAGCATATGGCTTCAGAATACAAGGTCAGTGAGTTGGGTCACAGGTGCAGCGTACCTGGCCACAAACAGATACGCGGTGAGTACACAAAGTGGGAATCAATTCAACCCATTTTCCTAATTTGGAATATGGAGACTGGGGGGTGAGCTGTGGTTGCCTTATCTGTTGTAGGGTCTTCTGGTTTCTTGATTTTGTGCTTTGCTCTGGTGCCAGCATGGGAAAGCCCCCCACTTGTCCCTCACTCTCCTCTGAGTTTTCGGGTGCACAGACAGTTCTGAGCACTCACTGTGTGTCAAGGTCGAGGCGCCTTTGGGATTTTCACTGCCTTCTGATCCTTTCACCTCAGGCTGCAGACTTGTGGTGGAGTGGGGGTGGGGGGTTCGGAAAAAATAGAGCTTCCCAGACTTAGGCTTACCTGATCTGCTTCTTAACTGTTACAGAGGAACATAAAGGCAGGCAGAAAATCCTTTCCTTTTGACAAAGACCGGCTTTCAGATTCTATTGTGTTGCTGCATATCCCATTTCATGAGACTGAATATTGATACTTTATTGTAAACATCCTAGCTCCATTTCTCCCTGCCAAAGTAGCCCAGAGAGCTGTGTGTCTCAGCCTGATGAGAGAGAAGATCACATGTATGGAGATGCCAGTGAGGGGAGCCATCGGTGCCTGTCAGAAGGGCTCCCTCATGATACTAGAATTCATGTGAGGCAAGGAGCTCCCCAAACCCTCAGCCTCCCAGAAGGGAGATGAGAGATCCAGTCCCAAGTATGAGAGCGTGAGGATGGGCCACTCTCGCAAGCAATCCATGTTGTTGCCTTATACCACCCCCAGCTACCTCACCCATGTGAAGTGGTGGTCTAGACAGGGCACACTCCAGGTTCGCCAGGTTCGGGAAACAAGCTTCCTTAAGAGTGAGTAGACATAAATTGAAGGGTTGTTGTTTCTTACTTACTGTCTTTTTTTTTTCTGAGACAGAGTCTCGCTCTGTTGCCCAAGCTAGAGTGCCATGGCTTCATAGCTCACAGCAACTTCAAACTCTTGGGCTTACGCCATCCTTTTGCCTCAGCCTCCTGAGTAGCTGGGTCGGTCTACAAGTGCCCACCAGAATGGTGGACTAATTTTTTTCTATTTTTAGTAGACACAGGGTCTTGCTGTTGCTCAGGATGATCTTGAACTCCTGACCTCAAAGGATCCTCTTGATGTAGCCTCCTAGAGTGCTAGGATTACAGGTGTGAACCACTGCACCTGGCCAAGTTGAAGTTTCTAATAAAGGACAGTTGACAGGCTATATTATAAAAATAATTTGGAAAGGAGTGAATAGATCTTTGCCTTTGGTTCTTTGGAATCTAGTCTAGGCCTATGACATATAGGATTTCTTTTTTCTGCTTCTCTCTTTTTTTAATGTGTCAAGGAAATATGGCCTAGGTACTTCAGCTTGGACAAGCCAGATGTGGTAAACCACAAAGTTTCTGATCATTTTTGCCCATGTGGCTGCATAGAGAGGCAATTTTTTTTTTCTTTTTTGAGATACTCTCACTCTGTGCCCTGGGGTTGAGGGCCATGGTGTCATAGCTCATAGCAACCTCAAACTCTTGGGCTCAAGTGATCCTCTTGCCTCAGCTTCCCAAGTAGCTGAGACTATAGGCATCTGCCACAATGCCCAGTTATTTTTCAGAGATGGGGTCTTGTTCTTGCTCAGGATGGTCTCAAACTCCTGAGCTCAGTAGATCCACCTGCCTTGGCCTCTCAAAGTGCTGGGATTACTGGTGTGAGCCACGGCATCTGGCCTGCAAGTTATTTTTTCTATTTTTCTGGAGACAGTTGTCTCACTCTGTCACCCTGGCTAGACTTCAGTGGCATCATCATAGCTCATTGCAACTTCAAACTCCTGGGCTCAAGTGGTCCTCCTGCTGAGTAGCTGGGATTACAGGCATGCACCAATACACCCAGATAATCTTCCTGCTTTTTGTAGAGACAGGTCTCACTCTTGTTCAGACTAGTTGCAAACTTCTAACTCAAGTGATCCTCCTGCCTTTGCCTCTCAGTGAGCTAGGGTTACAGGTGTGACCAATCGTGCCTGGCCAGCAACTTTTCTCTGTCTACCTTTTTGTCTCTCCTTGCCTGTTGTAGAGGTAGATTACCTCCCACTGCATGACTGCATAACCGTGCTTTTTTTTTTTAATTAACCAAGAGAAATATATTGGCTTACAGGTTGGAATCCAATAGGAAGGTGGGAGCAGGGCTGGTTTCCTCTGGAGGCCATGTAGAGGGATCTATTCTAGGCCTCTTCTTGGCTTGCAAAGGGCCATCTCCTGGTGGCTTCACAGGCCTCAGCTGCACTCACACATGTGTTTCCTTCTACTCTCTCTCCTTACAGGGACACCAGTGATGTTGGATTAGAAATTGACCCGAATAGCCTCATTTTAAGTTACTTATCTGTTTAAAAACCTTATGTGCAAATACAGTGGCGGGTGAGGTGAGCAACGATAGCCCTGCACCGCATGCTCTTAGTTTAGCAGCCCCGAGTGAAAATACCATAAAAGGCTTTGCTTCCAAGGTCCTTCCTTCACATTCAGAGAAGACTTCCATTTACTCCACCTGGGTCATGTGTTCACCCTTGAACTAGTACCTGACCCAGGCGGATGGTAGATGTGAACTGGACCATCCAGGTCAGGTGCTCATCCCTGTGGTGGGGATGGCGGAGCACTGCAATCGAGAGGACACACACGGCGAGGGAGGAACCAGAAAGCATCAAAAGAAGAGGGGTGGGGGAAGCGTCTGTGGCTCAGTGAGTGGGGTGCGGCCCCATATACCAAGAGTGGCAGGTTCGAACCCTGCCCCAACCAAAGTGCAACAACAACAAAAAAGAATAGCTGAGTGTTGTGGTGGGCGCCTGTAGTCCCAGCTACTTGGAAGGCTGAGGCAAGAAAATCACCTAAGCCCAAGAGCTGGAGGTTGCTGTGAGGGTGACAAAGTGAGACTCAGCCTCTAAAAGAAAAAAAAGAATAGAAAAAAGAAGAGGGGTGGGAAAAGGGGATTGGCAGATACAAGTCATGGTCACCACAGTCTTGGAAGTGGTCTCACAAAATGACTCCCTTCCTCTTGTTTTACCAGACCCTGACTTTTCTTCTGGAACCTTTCAGGTTTCTCTGGCTTCAGGAAGCTTCCTTTTTATTACCCCCTTCTCTAGTGTCTCCTGGCGTTCATGGGCCAGGGCCAGGAATTTAAAAATTAATACATGCTGCATCATATTCTTTTGAACTGACATTACTTAAAATGTTATAAATGATTTGATGATGCACTTGGCCACAAAAAATAACCAGTTTAATAAAAATAAAAAATTATTTTTTGTGCTCACTTCGGTAGCACATATACTAAAATTGGAACCATACAGAGAAGATTAGCATGGCCCCGTGCAAGGATGACATGCAAATTTGTGAAGCATTCCATATTTTTGTTTATAAAAGAAAAAAAAATCACATTTTTAAAAAGGAGGGTGTTGACAGGCGTGGTGGTGCATACCTGTAATCCTAGTTCTTTGGGAGCCCAGGAGTTTGAGATCAGCCTGGGCAATAGTGAAACCTTGTTTCTGCAAAAAATAACAAAAGGAACTCAGCTGGGCATTGCGGTGCACGCCTGTGGTTCTAGCTACTCAGGAGGCTGAGATAGGAGGATCGCTTGAGCCCAGGAACTGGAGGCTGCAGTGGGATATGATGATGCCTCTGCACTGAAGCCTGGGCAATAAAGCAAGACCCTTTCATTTTTTTATTATTTATTTTATTTATTCAGTTTTTGGCCTGGGGCTGGGTTTGAACCCACCACCCCTGATATATGAGGACGGCACCCTACTCCTTTGAGCCACATGCGCCTCCCCCTTTTCATTTTTTTAAAAAAGAGAGAGGCTTTGCTTCTGCATAGAATAGGTGTTTAATAATACCTATTGATTTGATTTGTGTTTTATTAGTATGAAAGATGGCTAACCCCAGCAGGGCCTGGATTTGGTAGTCTCTGAATGGCCCAGAGGGCCTGAAGCAGTGGCCAGCCCATGAGGCTGCGGGCTGAATGCTTGAGGCGTCCCACAGAGGCCTGCTGCCTGTGTACTATCTGCTTTGTGTCAACTTCTCTGGTGCTCATACAACTTACTCCTGTTACAATTTATTAAAATAGAGTGTGGCAGGGACACAAATACTGTAGTCCCCCAGTTCTAGACTTTTACTGACCTATGTTGCTAAGGAAGATCCAGTCTCGCAATGGTAAGACTGGGCCACCTTGTGGTGCTGTTGGTGTAACAGACAAACAGAAAGTTTAGAAGTGAGAGGTCAAACTGAATTATTTAAGAATAGACACTAGTTGGCAGGGGAGGGGCCATTCAGAGAAGGGAGTCTGGTGAGGTCAGTGGGCCAGCGAGAGCAGAGAGCCCGGGAGTGCTGTGGTGCTACCTGAGACTGTAGGAAAGAGAAACGTAACACAAACGTTTAGGGACAAGCTGCAGATTGTATTCTGGGATTTCCTCCGTCGCCCCACCCCAACTCTGCAGGTAGCTCAGGTGAATCAGAACTCACCTGTCGAAAGTAACAGGAAATATAAGTGTTTAGACCAAAAAGAAAAGAAGAATGGGATTTATAGCCTCTGTGAGTAAATTGTTATCAGGTTGTTTGATTATCTTGATTCGGGTGCAGTTTGATCAGAATCTCAAGCATCAGGGCCAGGGTTTGATTTCTGTTGAGGTTTTGACTCTGCCTTCTGCTATGTTGGTTTTATTCCCAGATGTTCAGAGCTTCAATCTCAGTCTCAAGTCCAGTGGAAAAGAAAGCATGTCTCGCTTCCATCAACCCCAGAAGTTCTCCTGTGTCCCACTGGCTCTGGTTCAGTCCCCTGTCTGCCCCTGAATCACATGCATAACCAGGAGGACACGCTGCTCTGACCGTTCAGGCCCGAGTCTCACGCTTCACCCCAGAGACACAGGGGCCAGGATCAGAGAGACAAGGGGGGCTGGTGCCAGAAGAAAGTCGGCACAGGCCAAAGAGAGAGTAGAAGCTGGCCAGCTAAGACAAAACACATCAGGAGACTGTTCTTGGTTTATTTTTTTTTTAGAGTTAGGGTCTCACTCTGTCACTGAGGTTGGAGTGCAGTGGTGTGGTTGTAACTTACTGCAGACTGGAACTCCCCGGCTCAGGTGGGACCTCCTGCTTCAGCCTCCCAAGTAGTTGGGGCAACAGGTGCCTACCACCATGCCAGGCTAATTAAAAAGAAATTGTTTTAGAGATGGGGTTTCTCTGTTGCCTGGGCTAGTCTTAAACTCTTAGTGTCGAGCGCCTCCCCTTGGCCTCCCAAACCCGGGGATTACAAGCGTGAGCCATTGCACACGGACCACATTAAGAGACTTCAGATTTGCATTGCTTGGTTCAGCTTTTGTTTTTTTTTAGAGGGACAGAATCTGACTTTATCACCCTTGGTAGAGTGCCATGGTGTCACAGCTCACCCAACCTCCAACTCCTGGGCTTAGGTGATTCTCTTGCCTCAGCCTCCAGAGTAGCTGGGACCACGGGCACCCGCCACAACGCCTGGCTATTTTTTTGTTGCAGTTTGGCCAGGGCTGGTTTTGAACCTACCACCCTCGGTATATGGGGCCAGCGCCCTACCCACTGAGCCACAGGCCCCGCCCTGCTTCAGCTTTTTGAGGTTGCATTTGTTTTCTTTTACACATGTAAAAGTATCGAAACCCAAGGAAATGTAAGTTCATCCCAGTTACAAATGTCTGTATTTGTTGAGTGGTCTTGATTTCATATGGTTCTTCCATAAATCCCTATCAGAACCCCATGAGGTCTGCGGCCTTTCTCATTCTGTAGATGAGGGAGCTCAGGTCCAGAAAGGGTAAAGAACTAACACTACCCTGCACAGCTAGTGCCCGGAGGAAGCCGCGTTCGGAGCCAGGCTCCAGTCCTCAGGATTTCCACTCTTCCCTGTGAGAGAGGA